TAATGCTACGTTGGGTCTCTGTCTCATTGAATTATTCACATTCTCAGTATTTTTTATTAATATTATATAATATATGATTTAATATGTGAGTTCAATTAGATATATATGAGTTCGTATATTAACTCGCAGAAGCAGCTTTCCATCCATCCATTGTCTACCGCTTATTCCTTATAGGGTCGCAAGGGGGCTGGATCATCCTGGACCGGTCACTTTACAATCAGGTTAAGTAATGTAATATTCTTACGTATTGCAAAGTAATTTGATTGGGATCCTATTACCTAAAAACCATAAAAAATTAAATAAAATGTGACCCAAAGTAAGAAAATTTAATGTCGATAAGCTTTCAATCTAATGATCTTTGTTTTTTACGCCCAAATGCAGCCATCTGTTTACTCCTATTGTTATTTAACCGGGCCTACCTAAAAACATTTAACAGAAAAGCAGAAATCTAAAGATCACAGAGGCCCTGAATGATTCAGTATGTGATCTTGGAACTACATGTGGAACCATGAGAAACAAACAAACAAATCCCCCCAGTTGATGGAACACATCCTCATGGTGGTCAGACAAACAATATGATCCACACTTTTCATTAATTTTTGGCCATTTACTGTTTAATTTTAGTTTTGCTGACTCTTTAATGTCGCTGTAATTTATGTTTTTCGTTGTACTCTTATACAGAAATTATGCCAAATCCCTACCTGATGCAATTACCTTAAGATGAATGAATTGGAAAGAAAAGAAGTACTTTAAAAAACAGCATTGAACGTCAACAATGGGGAATTGTGATTGTTTTTTTATTATGCTGGAGCTATTGATTAAAATTAGACACTAATCAAACTTCTGCATATTTCAAAGGTCATGTGAGATGAATATGGAATCAAAATCAGCATCCCCCCTTCAATAAACAATCGCACACCGAACCTGAGATCTCTCAAAAAGCTCAGGATCACCTATCAAATGTTACCGCCTAAAACAAAGAAGAATCTATCTTGATCCGTTTTGAGTGCGGGGTTGTGATTGGGAGAGAACTTCCATCATACCGAAGGTGGACAGTATTGATTTTCACCCCGGTATATCAGCGAACTGATATATCGGTCTGTTCTGAATGCGAATGCACAAACCAATTCTCGGCCCTCCATCAACCAAACATCACGAGAGCATCCTGACTGATGTCTGCTCGGCTAAAACACACACACATACACGCTCTATCTCTCGGGGGCCCACTCTTCATCCTCAAGGTTAAGAGCTGCCGGGAGGCGGGGGGGGGGGCTCCGTCGCTGACCGCCTGATGGGCTGACACCGCCTGACCCTCTGTGCACACATGTTGATCTGTCCCCAGACGTCGTCCGACAGCCCCATGTAAGGGCCAACGTCGCGCTAAAAGCGCCGACGCATTTCAATGAGCGGATCTTTTCCGTTTGTGTTTGTGTGTTGAAGATAGAAATGCAAGGGGGGGGGGCGCCGAACACATCTGCAGGCCGAACAAGCAGCGTGTAATTCAAAACCAGACCAATGATTATCTCCCCTCCCCACAAGCGCTGACTCAATTCTGATTTATGATTCGAATGAACATCGATTTTCCAGGAGCCCCCCCCCATCTCTCTCTCATTCCTTGCATTTCTCCTTTTAACAAAAGAGTGAATGATGTATGTGTATTGATTTCCAATCAATTATTTTTATTTTCATTTTATTTAAGCTTGGACAAATTTTCAGTGGCCCCAGCGGAGGGCAATGCATCTCTATCAATGGATCTGGGCCTCATTACTGACCGGTCCTCTGATAGTAACCGGGCAAATAATGAGTTCATTTTAGAGTCAGAGTCAACATCTGTTTAAGCGTTATCTGGACGTAAATGTGTTCCTCATTCACTCTTTGAAATTATACCCGTTAATGTGTTTGCGCAACGATTTTAAGTTTCGGCTTCGTAATTATACTAGCTTTAAAAAATGATTTACTGGACATGGGGAAGCTAAATGACAGCTTTTCATTTAGCTAAAATTAGCCAAAATTAGCTACAGGTCAAACCACACTAAAAAATTAATATAGTGGCAAATACAGTTGTCGTGGTAGAAGCCTGGTAATATTAGTAAAGCATTTCTATGGTAAATTAACTTATTCTTTAGATAATGAACATGTTATTTTATATTTCTCATGTCTAACTCGGGTAAATTAAAAAGGTATATTCACTTTTGACCTGTCCTGAGCATTTCCTCTATCATTTGCTACACATCTGGTCTGTAAAAAGTATGTCCTGAGTTGCTTTTCTTTGTCCAAACAGATTAAAATTCTACACGATATAGTTTGCCACCCTGAAATACAGAGAAGCATTATAACTTTTCTGTTTGAGAAGCAGTTAGCATTAATCTTTTCTTTAAATACAACTATCCACATCTCCAGGTTATCCAGAAAAAACACGTTTAAAAAAAAAAAAAAAACTCCCAGATTTAGTTGACAGTGATGCATTAAAATGGGTCATCCTGTAATTGTTCTTCCTGTGGCTACTGGCTGGGCTGGGATTACATAACGATGATAAAGCTGCAGACCTGGCCTTCTAAGATAAAGGCTGCCAAAGAGGAGCGCGCGCATTCTCCGAATGCTTCAACCGAGAAGACTTCTGAAGGAAGTGATAACTGCCGAGCTTGCCCACCAAAGCTCCATTGGGACTCGGCCATTTACCCCAGTATTCTTCTGATCGTCATACGGTGTAAGCGTAACTTTGGAAACGCGTTGAGTAACGAGCCGGCGTGTTCCTGTGCTGTGATGACCCAATCATTCTGTCACATTTCCTGTGATGACGAAACAAGTTTTCACTCATGCACCAAAAGAACTTTTCACTCCTGGAAATAAATCCGTCGAGTGTGATGAATGGCCCTATTTTTTGCCATAAAAGCGGCGTGGAATTCCGTCTCAGATCTACCGAGGCAAGTTTCACAAGACATCCCGTTGCCATATGACCAAATCAGATGCTGAGGGTGACCAATATGACCCAACAACTGGGCTCGGAACAAAGGGCACTCAGTTGTCTGTTAAAGAGGGGGGATAAAAAGCTCCCACTTGGGACACAATGCTCCTCTTATGCTCAAATGTTGTTTATCTCATTAGGCAATGCCGTGCCAGGTTGTGGAGCTCCTTGCCGCTCGGGTAATAGTTACAGGAAGGGGATGCCACCGCGGCACGCGAGCACTTCTCCAAAGAGGAAAGGATAAGAACGGGCCCAGAGTGACGTAGCGCCACGGCCAAATATGTGCTGAATGCAACTGGAATGAAGAATGCGACCGGAAGCTGCGAGACAATGGAGGAATTCTTGGTGTCGCAATCTTGCTGTGGAGTGAATGTCTTTGCTGTTTCTTTGACAAACATGCAATGTTCTGATGCTAATCTTTGGAGTGAAACAAGATTAGAAACAAAGTTTTTTTTTTATGAATCAAACACAAGAGAAAGAAAAAAACAATGCATATACTGTACTGTATTTCTCTTGTGAAAGAGCACACCTATATAAAAATGTAGCTTTTTTATCTTCTAAGTTTGACTTTTTTTTACTTCTGGGAAGTGAGAAATACAAACAATGTTACAATGTTATTTGGTAATGTTTTAAAAAGTTACAAAAAGTTCAGGATTGAGTGGTATGTGACATAGTACGAGTTGATTATGATTTCCATTTTCTAAGCAAAACTATGTGACTGTCCTAAAGACTAAAACACTAAAATGAAGAAACTTTAAATGAAATATGACCTACTACTTCTTGTCACTCTAAACTTATGTGGATTACATACATTCAAATAAAACAGGTCAAAAAATACTTCCACAATGGCTGATGTGGATCATTAATTCTTGTCTAAAATCATCTTGGGAATAATTCTGCGCCAATTTATACATTTTTAACAAGTATCATAATATCTAAACTGGGGTAGAGCAAACTTTAACTTTAAGGAACTACTCTTGAATATTAATTCTGCTTTTTGTCCTTTTAAGTGCAAATTGGCTTACTACAATAGTTTTCTTTTTTTTTCTTTCCCCCTTTTTATCCAAAAAGAGGCAGAACTTGTCAAACCTCCGCTGTAGGGCTGAACACAGCTTTGATCTTTGCAGCCTTTCAGTATTAGAAATAGATGTACAGGCTCTAGGTTATTATCTTAGAAGATGAAAAGTGAGGTAAAGTATTTTTTTTAAGTCTACGGGTGTTCTGATAACACAATATCCTGCCAGCTATGAGTCACTGGTGTCCCAAGACACGACTTCCACGAGTGCAGCGTTTAGAACTGATGTCAACACTCGCACTTCACGGTTTACAGCTCCGGCTGAACCAAAAAAAAAAAAACCTTTCGAGCAGTGTGTCGCAAAGTGAGACTTTTCACAAAGCTGCAACGACGTTCCCTCCACGTGAGAGGAGCGAGACTTTCGGCTCTCGTACGCTAGCTGTGGCGAAACGTAAGGGTCGCAGCGAGGAACCGCGGCTAAGTGCTGCTCCTCAGTTCCTATATATACACCCCTAAAAATAACCGACCAATCAGCGGCGAGCGACTCGGAACCGAGCGCCAATCGCGCGAGGCGGTGAATCGAATTGAGACAGAGCGACGCCGCCATTGGTCGGCCGTGATATCATTCGCGGTTCTTCGCGCCGCTCGCCGCTGATTGGCCGGGAGGCCGCACGCGTCGTTCGGCCGCGCGGAGGAGGGGCCGTGGGCACAGAGGTTTGAATAGGGAAGTTTGCAGAGCGCAGTTGGTTCCCCATCCAGTCCGGTGCAGTGTTTGCAAATATCTCGAGCTGAGAAGAGACTGGAGAAGGAAGTGGAGGATTGACTGGCGGACTCTCGTCTGTTACCCGCTACTGAAAACAACTCTTCGTTTTTTTTTTTTGCATCTCAAGGGGGGGGGACTATCGCTCCTTGCTCATCTCACTGGGTCTTTTTTTTCTATTCCTGACATTTACATTAAAGTGCAGTTTTATATTTTTTTTTCCAATTTTTTTCTCCATTTCCAAGTTCGGAGGGGAAAAAATGGATGTTTTACCCATGTGCAGCATTTTTCAAGAACTTCAAATAGTTCATGACACGGGCTATTTCTCAGCCTTACCGTCCCTGGAGGAGTACTGGCAGCAGGTGAATATAACACGTTCTTTCCAGCTTGTTGTCAAATCTTTGTTTGAGCTTGTAAGTCTGAGCGGAACTGAGCGCATTTCACGCTCCTCTCTAAAGATCCCCACGTCGGAGTTGAAGCGCTCGGGAAGTTACAAACCCCCCCTAAAAAAACCCGATAACGAATCGTTAAAACAGTTGTGAACGCGGGTCTCCGGTTTATAGACGGAGCCCGGTGGGATACGGCTCGGGCTTGGTGTTTTAGGGTCGGTTTATTGGTGTTTTTTTGTTGTTTTTTTTTGGTTTATTTATTTTTTCCTATTTGGCAGGCTGAAGTAGATCAGTGTGTCAGTCTGACAGCTGGGGGGGGGGGGGGGGGGGGTCGGGTCTGTGCTGCGTCCGGGATGAATGGGAAGAGCGTAAGTCAGGCATCAGCAGCAGCAATAGCAGCACCGAGCAGCAGCGTGCTGCGTTCACGGCCCGTCCGAGAACCGGGCTCCGCTCCGGATGGTGCTTTCACGGTTCGAGAGGCTCGCCTCACTCGCGAAAAACGGGCCGGGGCGAGACCGCGGATGTGGCCGGAAGTGCTGTTTCAAATCAGTCAGCAATTAACGGAGAATCTGATGTAGTGTCGTGGTGTGTGTCAGTGTTTGTACCCCCCCCCTTTCCTCACACTCACACACCCACTCAAGTCAATTTAGTTGTGTTTTTCAGCCTTTTGCAATGTGCATTTCCAGCTTTAAATGTTTTTTTCCATCCCCATTGCATTTGTTTTACTTTTTGATTGTAGGATTTGAACGCTATCAAATGTCAGCATTGGCTAATTCAACCTCACATGAGTTGACATCAGCACAGCTGGAAAATATTGAGTAAGGCAGCAGAAGCCTGGAGGAAAATAATGATTCCACATCTGCCTCGTGGAGCTGCTGTCTCCCAGCACCACCTAATGAACACCTTCTTGCTTTTCAGATTTGATGGTCTTTACAGAAGTAAACTGCAGCCAGTGTTTCTTTTTTTTTTCTTTTTGCTTGTTGACTGGCCAGGCTGAGGAAGGATATGATTGCATGTCAGTGGCGTGCATAGGGAAAAGCAGCTGAATGGCCCTCTAATGCTGGAAGGGGGAAGTTGAGCAGCTACCTTAAAAGGACTTTGAATTTGTTCAGTGAGTCATCGTGGAGCGCTGAAATGACAGTGCACGTTTGGTGCAGGCCGGTTCGACTTCGGGGTTGTGATTGTGTCCTCGCTTCGTGGTATTTTGAAGCTGGAGGGAGGCTGAGGCAAGAGATTGTGCATCGTTATATTTTCGACCTGTGGTTCAGAAAATGGAAATGACGTCCCACTTTCACAAAACACAAATAGTTGCATTTATACAGCCTGTCTTGTATAGACACACTTCCCTTATATTAGTTAAATGAAGCATTTAGGAAGTACACATCACACATTTGTTGTTTTTTCTTTTTTTTTTGGGCGCAATTTTTATTCATGAGATGTTGGAACTAAAAGGTTGATCCCTAAATTTACAAGGAGAGCTGGGATTTCCTGGTTAATGCCTCCTGCTCGAAGCGTTTGAGAAATATTACGCCACCAAAAGCAAATTCGGGATGTGCACATGCATGATTTAAGAGGATTTCCCTCTCGGAAGCATTTCGCTGGTGCGAGTTGGCCTCCATCTCTTCGGGGTTTCTGTTGCTTTGGCTGAGTTTTGTTTTCTCTCTTGCTTTGGATTTGAGCAGACCTGCTTGGAGTTGGAGCGCTACCTGCAGAGCGAGCCTTACGTCTCCACGTCCGACCTGAAGTTCGACGGCCAGGAGGACCTGTGGAGCAAGCTGATCTTGGCCTGCGGGGATAAGGCCAAGGCCGAGTCTGACCCCAAGCTGCCCCCGGCCCACGAGGAGGACAATCAGGACAGCCAAGTTTTGGACAGCAACAGCGTGAACTCGGACGCCAGCAGCGAGGCCTCGGACAGTTCCGAGGAGCTTTCGCCCACGCACAGCTTTACCTCCAACCCCCTGGGCTCTGTCCTGGTTGGCTCTGGACCTTTTAGCCCCTGCGTCATCAGCACGCCGCCGTCCTCGCCGGAGGCCGGCCCCGAGGCGGGCGCCGCCGCCGTCAACGGCTGGGTGGCCTCGCACGTCGACTTGCACTTGCCGGTGAAAATCCGGAGCGGCGGCGCGGCCAAGGGCTCGGAAAAGACGGGACTCATCTGCGGGGACGCGTCGCCGGACGGCCGGCGGCGGGTGCACCGGTGTCACTTCAACGGCTGCCGCAAGGTTTACACGAAGAGCTCCCACCTAAAAGCACACCAGCGCACTCACACAGGTGAGTCCCGGCCCCCCCGGGGGCCATGTTTGTAACCCTCATGTCTGTAAACAGAGAGCAGAAATAGGCCGATGGGCCACTCTCTGTTCCAGGTGAAACCATTTATTCATAAGGCTTTTGGAAGGAGGCCCGGGGAGTGGTCTGTTTTTTTTATTGACAGAATGCCGGAAGTGCCTTTAATTCAGTCTTTCCACCTTAATGGCATTGTCCACTCATTGTGTAATGTAATTAAAGGGCCACAAAGCATGGTGTCCTCAGCTGGGGCTCTGCGAGCATTAGCCGCGCTTGGCTGGATACCTAAACTGTGACCTAATCTATCTGGAATGTGACTGACTGAGCCTGTGAGTGAGCGTATGAGAGCCAGAGGGAGGGGTGTGGGGGGGCGGGGGGGAGAGGGGGCGGGGCTGCACATGGGAGATAAAAGGACTTCAAAACAGATTGAGTTTCGCCATGGGAAAGGGGGTAAACGGGCAGGAGGGGGGGCGAGGGAAAGGGGGCAGCGAGTTCTTGGGCTTTGAATGGCCATTTGAATGTTTCTTACTCCTGATTAGCACTGAAAGGCATTTTGTTGTCAAACTACATAGCATGTGTGTTTCTTTATTTTTATCCCACGAGCCCACAGTCGGCTACATAGGACATTGCTAGCATCCTTGGCATGTTTCAGCCTCCGTCTCGGTGGAGCTGAGCCGACAGGTTCAGAGGAATTTGAGTCCAGTAAAGATCCGTGTTGTCGCGCTGCCCAGCCCTCGGGGCAGGGGGGGCTGATTTAGATTTGAATGCATTTAAAATAGCCACAGCGCAGAGCTGCCTTAGCGGAAGTTGCGGCCGGCCCTCTCACGCTCCAATGTTTTCTCATCACTCCCCCCCCCACACGCTAACACACACAGGTGAGAAGCCATACAGGTGTTCATGGGAGGGCTGCGAGTGGCGTTTTGCACGAAGCGACGAGCTGACCAGACACTTCAGGAAGCACACCGGGGCCAAGCCATTCAAATGCAGTCACTGTGACAGGTAAGCCAGGCCTATTCGGCCACTGGCCGCTACATTTAGGTCCACCCCGTCCAGCGTCATTCCAAAACTGATGCAGATCTTTAAAGAAAGAAAGAAAGCATTGCTGAGTTTCAGTCGGCCGGACCACGTAGCGATCAAGCTAAGTGTTCTGACCGACTGAAACCATCTATACCTGAGATAAGATGTGCTGATCCTGTTGGATTCGTCATTTGTTTTATGTCAGAGATGCGTATTGAGTAACGTGTCTTTATCAGACCCTTAAAACGTCTGTGTGTACACGTCAGCCTATCCAAAAGGGACGGGGTTTGGCTCCATTCAATAGGTGTTTATGATCTTCCTCTTTAAATAACTTCCTCTATTTGCACCAGGCCTCTTTTATTTTTTTTTATTTTTTTTTTGCTCTCCAAATGACTCATCTCCTTCCTGCTCTCTGTCCTCAGGTGTTTCTCCAGGTCTGACCATCTGGCTCTTCACATGAAGAGGCACATCTAAGGCAGGAGCCAGCACCAACCTAGCAACACAGCGAAGGGGAAATTCCTTTTTTTTTTTTTTTTTTTTCCTTTTTTTCTTTTTTTTTTTTCTTAAAGTCGGGTTGGGGGACAAAAAGAACAACTCTCCCCCCTCAACCCACACACACACACACATATCTCCCGGCTCGTCTCTTGGTTGAACTGTCCCAGAGCAAAGAGCGGCGGGGAGTGTGTTCCAGCCAAAGCATGCCGTTTTGCACCATACTGAAACCCAGTGCCTCCGGGACCTCCCTTTGGAGAAGGGCGCTCTGAAGGGTTGTCTGTTGCCACAAGAGGACAAAATCATGGATGGGAAAAGACATGTGTTTTTGTTTTTTTGTTTTTCATTGAGAAGGACTTAAAAACCAACAAAAAGACAAAAAAAAGACAAAAAACCGAAACAAACGAAAAGAAAAAAAAAAAGGAAAAAAAAAAGGCACAAGCATATAGAGTGAGTGAATTGTATGTATGGTGCATGATGTTTTGGGGACATCTCTCCCGGACAGCAGATACACTGGTACTTTACAAACCTGTCTGAGGTAAGCATGTGTCCACTGTGAATGTCTGAGATTGGCTGACTGGCCCCCGCTGGAAAGAATCGGAAGAGGATTTTTTGGGAGCGATTTGGATTGGCGGAATGGGCTGGTACCAATGTTGCTGTGGACTGAGTGGGGTTTCTGGGGGAAGCATTCCTTCCTGCTATGTTTTTCCCCAGTGGCAGTGTGAGGATGAGGCGTGGAGGAAAATCCTGTCTGCCTCGTCTGTCTGGCACCCAGACTCGGAGCTGAGGGGGGGGGGGGGGGGGGGGATGTTCCACTAAAGCTTTTGAGGCCTT